AATTTAATGCTATGGTATCTTCGCACAGTCCATTGTTGCATATCAGTGCGTTAATCACCATTTATACCAGAAATTCTCATTAAAGCAGTGACTCATTTTGGCCAGACTGAGAATAAAAATAATTATTTCAATTCTGCTTCAGTTTTTTTTTGCATGCTGGCTTCTTACACAGAAATGTAGATGGGTGTGAAGTCATATGGTGATTCAGTTATTTGACACGTTCAACAAATGTCACCCTGCAACACTACTTCCTGCAAATCACGTGACTGGTAGGAAGTCATGTTGCGTTCTACTGAACATTATATGTGCATTACATATAGCTTTTAATGAAACTGACTGTAAAGGTGGTCACATTAAAAAACTACTTGATGTAAAAATGAATAGACATATTTGTTATTTGTCCTCTAACTGCTATTTATTACATTTTTCTGACATTTTTCTTGCATAAACCTCACAAATTGCAAGGAAGAAGTGGCCATGTAGATGTGGTTCATCTCTATCTGGTTTTGGTGGAGTTTCAAGTACTAGAAATGAGTGTAAATGAGCTAGAGTTCATTTGAGTCCATTTTGACCTATCTAGAGGCTAGCTCTCAGTGTCTTAAAAATCCCCTACATTACAGGAAGCACTGCCTGAAACGTCTGGGGAAAAAAAGAACAACATCAAGTTTATATCGTTTTTTCACATCTAAAGTAAAAAAGCATGTTGTGTGTATTAGAAAAAAAATGTAATATAATGTACATTTTTATTTTGTTTATTAAAATTTTAAGGGTGACCCAGCGTGCACGTAACCAAGACCTTCTTAATCCCAGTTCACCGGTTACTCATGTGAACTCTGGCTCTTCACATTCTCTTTTAATGAAGAGGTAATGTAATCATTGTTTTTTGATGTCAAGAGGAAAAAAGTGTTTAATATCTTAACTACGAGGTGTGTGCAACAGTGGACAGCACATAATTTCTGACACCAGCAGACAAGCATTCAACTCTTATGTATGAATATTTTTTATTTATTTATAGATTTTACTTCTGTATGCAAATGTACCTTTTTATTACAATTTGATTAAGGTTTAAAGTGTGTGGTGAATTTAAGGTTAAATTATATCCTTTAACAAGGTAAAAGACAAACCTTGACGAATTTCTCAGACATTTCCTTAGTTATTACAGTTTCTTGTCACATGACATAAGTAGGACAGTAGAGTACATAGTCTCACATAATGGGGGACTCTTGTTGACTCTCTTAGATTTTGCACAACATGATAATACATTATCAGTGCAGGACATTGTGATAGTTCAACTATATAGAAAAATATAGCTATTGGACCACACCTATTAATTTTTTAATTCGGGCTTTTTCAGTCCTACTAGGTGTGCACCTAGCTATGCAGTCTACCTTTACAAACAAGAATGAGTCACAATAAAGAACTCACTGAGTTCGATTGTAGTATTGTAAAAGGGTGCCACTGTTGCAACAGGTCATTTTGTGAAATCTGCTCCTAGTTATTCTACATTCAACTGTAACTTCTGGATTACAGCATGCACATATGACTAACCAATGGTTCCAACATTAAGAAGAGAAGTGGCAATACATGGTGCAGATGACAAGTTTGCAGTTAAAAGGTACTTCAACAAATCTGGGTCCTCGTGAGACCTCCTGTGCAATTCTGTGCTACAGACAAGGTTCTCCAACTCTTTAAACAAAAATTGGACTCCTGAGATGTTACAAGGCTCAATTGTCTTCTCACTCCATTGCACCATTTTCAGCAGCACCTGCCATAAACAAGGTTCCCACAAAGAAGTCGCACAAAACAGTATTCTGTTTTGCTGCACACCATGTTTATCCCCTCGGCCATCCCTGGTGCACCTTCGTGTCTACTTCATTTGAGCAGGAACAGCTTGCTCCATCTCAGAATATTTTATAGGGATGGGTCTGTTGGTGGAATTGTGACTCTCTGGCTCCATTCATATATCATGTCAATGTGTAAATGATCACTTCTGATGAGTTTCACATTTTGATACATCCTGTCTGTACCTTCTGTTTTTAAGCATGCAGACTGACTGTTTTATTTCACAATCCATGCAATTAATAAATTCAAAAAGATAAAAGAAGCGACATGAGCTTCAGCACGTCCTAGAGCCCAGGAGCTTCCAAATGTTGAAGCAGAATCTCAGCATCAAACTATTAAAGCCAGAGAAGAGGAATTATAGTTTATACTCTTACTCCTACTGTTCATAGGTTCCCCACAAACCTAATGCTAGTAAAAGTGTTTTGTAGCTGTAATAAACACAGCATGTAGTGGTGTTTTGCATGAGTGGATAACCTTGATATGTGTCTGTTTATGTTTCCCCCCTACTTTACTTTGGGTTGATTTGGTTTATTTAATAAAAAAAAAAATAACTAACTGAATCTCTATTCTTGTATATCGTGGCCTGGATCTGTAAGCACCAACAACTTGCAAATGTAAACTTGAACCACTTTTATCTTAAATATTAAAGACAAATTAGCTCAGTGAAAATCCCTGTGCCCTCTCTGTAGCTCTGTCAATACTTAATTTATTTTGTGCTGTCTCAGGAAAGAAAGACGCATATTTAAAATCCTCTAATTGTTTCTTCATCGCCACGATTCGAGTGTAATTAGATCTCAAAATATGGTACATTCAGCAGTGTTTCTATACCACTGATTCAACAATACATAATCTTCACTTTACCACTTAAAACCCTTAGATAGGTCCCGTTTCCATATGACCAATTTAAAAAAAGTGGTTAGTAGTAAGTCATGGCTTGTCCATTTATTAGTAACAACACAGATATGAGTAGAATAACCAGTGCTCTCGTGTCTGGGGAGAAAGAAAATATCTCAAGAATGCTGGTAAATTGTTAAGAAGGAACAGGCTGGAGTTTATATTCAGCTCAGATCAGTGTTCATAGTGTCACATTTGGAGGATTATTCACAAGGACCAAACCCAGTGGCACAAAAACAGTTTAAAGTAGAACTTCCCTGCTTTACACAAGAGAAACTTCCAAAAGAAATAAATAAAAACGTAAAAACAAATAAATAAAAACCGAGTGGAGAGTGAGGTGAAACAACAGGACCACAGCATGAGTCACCAACAAATCTATAATTTACAAACTAGCTCCCTGCCATGCACAGAACTGGTATATGAGAAGGAAAGTAGAAAAATGTTGGTTAAAAAGGATAGAGGTGTGTGATGAGCAAAAAGAAGATCACACTGATGAGTGGCGAATGGACATTTTCTTTCAGGGCTAAGCTATGTAGATCAGATCCCCTGAGACACAGAGGTATGAACTGACTGCCCCCTACCTCCATCCAAATCACACATACAAACACATCCACAGCAAACACAGCAATGCGAAACTTCATTAAAAAGGTCATCTGCAGATCATGTCATCATCAACTACTGCCAGGAACAGTGTTCCGCTCACATGATTGCCCTCCTTTCACTCTTCATCCACATCTCATTACTAGATGAATGAAACAGTTTAGCCTTGAGATTTCTTATACTATGCGTTCCGCGTTTATTCCAGAATGTCATTATGAGTTATGCCATGTCTTTCTTTTAATTTAATCAAGTGGGCCCTAAGGTGCTTTAATTACATACTGTGGTAATTTGGGGTAGGTGGTAGTGGCATATGTAGTCCGGGGAATCCGCATTCCCTAGTTTAGTTACTAGATCTTTGGAAATCTCAACAAATGCATTAGTATCTTGATCTGCTGTGCTGCCTTTGAACAGTAGCCTATTTGAAGCAAATACATAAATATGCATGATTGTCCAGCCTTGATTGGGATCTTCGGGGCATTTGAAAAGATGCTCTAATAGCTCAAGAAGTGCAGACATTTCTGTACCTGAGCTCTTTCTCACCATCTCAAAAGGTACCTGATCTGGGCTGAACTTAAAGGGGTGTAAGGGTAACGGGGTAAGGGGTAATGCCATTAAATATTGTATCTGACCGGAGTACATCGAAGCATCCACGCGTCCTTTTTTGCTGCATTTGTGTGTGTGTGTGTGTGTGTGTGTGTGTGTGTGTGTGTGTGTGTGTGTGTGTGACAAGTCGCTGAGGCGTGCACACACAAATACCGCATTCATCCAGTTTTATATGATGATGGTGCCCCCGCAGCGGCCAACGGGCGCAACTTTCCTCCTCCTCCTGGATCGAGGAGAGGATAGAGAGACTCCATTCAACACACACACACACACACACACACACACACACACACACACACACACACACACACTTTATGAATCTCCCTCCATCCTGACCCTCAGCAATCAGCCTGAGAGGAGGTTTGCATTCATTTGATTACCAAGAGAAAACGAAGACAAATTTCGATAAATGTTAAGTATCAGCTGCACACCAAACACATTGCCTCAAATGTTTAATGCTGACAATTTTTTTAATTATTTTCTCTTTCATTAACAGAAGCTCCTCCTGAACAGTGACAGAAATGCACGCTCACAAACAGTCTGCAGGTGGTAAGCGATCGACCGACGGTAACGAATATCAGCTATTTCAAAAGCAAGTCAGTATTTTTACAAAAAACAAGAATCACTGAGCCTTTTTCACCTAAAGGTTTCTTTTCTAAAGCAAGTATTTTGCGCAGCTTGGTCGGCGAGAGTGCGCAGCTCTGTGCGTTCATGCGCTTGGAACGGAGTGAGAGAGTCAAAAGTGGCAGACAGAAGAAGACGAGATGCTGCTTTCTGCTGTGCACGGGACGCTCATCAAGGCGCAGATCCTCCCATGACTTACATCTTAGACTAAGAAGAAACAGGGTCATTTGGAGATGTTTAATGCTATTCGTTATTTCAACCACCTAAACTTGTCCTCGACCACATCTTGTAAATAATTCTGCAGTGTAAATCATGAAGTCAAAAAAACAAAAAAACAAAATCAACCCACTGCATCACAGTTGCTGATTCTACCGGTGAATTCTCAAAGCCCACAGAAACCCGACAGTGCTCAGAGTTAAGTATGAGCGTGTGTTTACCGTTAAGAAACGATCCCATCCGCTGTTTTTTCCACCTCAGACAATATTCCTCTGTGCCTTAAGTCCCGTTAGGTTAAGGTCCAGTCCTTCCAAAAGCCACATAGTACCCCTGAAAAAATCCCGACGCTCAAGCGTTGGAAATAAGCCTTGGAAATAAGACTGGCGCACTTTTCACTCCAGAGGGTAGAAACTCGGGTTAAATGCGGTCCAACATTTACACACGGGCAGAAAGAAATTAAGGAAACCCTTTTAGTCCAAAACAAGTGCTCCGTTAATCCAAAATGGGTTTTTTTATTCACAACTATAAAATTCTCCTGTGACAGAAGAAACCATTACGCTCCGGGTCTTTTGACGCGAATCGGTCTACATGTTAATGACGGTCACGTTAGAGAAAAAGAAAGAACAGTGGGATTTTTTCCCCCCCATCGTCCGCTCCTCACGATTCAGGTTGCACTTGGCTGATAAAACGCCGTCCTCTCTTTCTCGCTCTCTCTTCCTCTCCCCCCTCCTCCTCCTCCTCTCCTCCAGCCCCCAGTCTCTCTCGGAAGCTTTCGTGGAGCAGAGACGCACCTAGCGGCCTAAGAGGGAACTCCACAGCCACATGAGTTTATTCCCACCCCGCCCCCTGTACAGACTGCTCTTAAAGAAACATTAAAATGTGAGACTTTTTTGCGTGTGTGTAAAAAGAGAAATCAATAAAACCTTCGTGAAGTGTGATTTGAAAAGTTAGACCACCATTCAGCTTGTTGCTTATATATAACAAAGATTTTAAAAAAGATAAACTCCTATTGCCCAGTGGTGTACAGTAAAATATCTTTAACACTCATGCTTTATGAATAATTATAAATAATAATGTTTGAAAATATTAATATTAAAAGTAGTTTTCAAAATGTATCGTTTTGTATTTTGAAGCCTGTTTCATATAAGCTACAACAACATAAAACACAACATTTTTGCATTACCTTAAAATAAAACAAGTAAATAGTGCAAATACTGAAATTATATGTCTATCACCATTATCAACATATATATATTTTCATATGATTTTAAAGGCATTAGGCTGAATGTTTAAAATGTTTAAAATTGATTGTTAGCAGTCTACTGTATTATTACAAAAATATTACCATAATATTAGTCAGAGGTTTTTGCTGGCATCTTTAAAAGGGTTTCTCAGTAATATTATCTTTTTTCTTGTCATTCATAATGCTGTCATTTGAATTCTACACCACTATTATAATATAAATTTTAGTAACAGGTTATTGCATGGTCATCCATTTGGAAATCACATAGGAATTTATAAACGACCTTGATTAAATTATTACCATGTTCTTACTGAGGTGGAAGGTAAACTGTCACCAAAATCTCTACTCCCAGGGATTACTGGTGTCTAACTGCCAAACACAAGTCTCAGCTCTGATTTACCTTAAAATAGTGTCTCTTTCTCAGTAGTCTGAGTTACATTCCCCTCATGGGGGATATGGGTTAGCTTAATTCTAACACTTAGAAAGACATGGAGACCTTTGGCTTTTCTCCTGTGAAGAGCTTCTGGAGCTGAGAAAGTGGGAATACCAAAAGAAGAGAAAAGATGTCTGTGCTTTCAGTTTATCAAAAGGAACCTACTTATTTTCAATTATACACAAACAAAAGTTATACAAAAGCAAATAAAAAAAATCAATCAAAACCAATTCAAAATAGAAAAATGTTCCTCCTGAACCAGTAGCTTGTTTTATACTAACCATCATCTTATTCTGTGTGACATCAATGCACATGGCAGCAGCATGGCAACCACATTTTCTGTCTACTCGATCTCTCTGCTCTAAGCCCATATATGAGACTCAACACAAAACTGCACATTGATAATGACATGTCCGTAATCAAAGCAAAAACACTTGTTCCATGAAAGAAACTTTCATGGAACAAGTGTTCTTACTATACACAGAACAAAATGTTACTTGATAGAACATATTACACTGGAAAAATTTTATTAGAAACTGGTTGACTTCAAAATAACCTGTTAAAAAATTAAAAAGAAACATCTCAGATTATGCAGGTAACTGTCATGATCCGGAGTTTGTGACTCCGTGTTTATGTTTTAGTAGTTATTATTATTCTAGGTTTTGTTTTCATGTTCCTATGTGTTCCCCAGTCTGTGTGAAGTTTGTTGTGTCATTGCGTGTATGTGTTTCCTGTTTTATTTTGAAGGTCTGCATCTTATGTGAGTGTTTTTAGTTTGCCTCCCTAGTCTCATCATGTTAATCACTCCCAGCTGTGTCCCCCACCTGTGCGTGATCTCCCTGTGTTCTCTGAGTGTTTTTAAGTCTTGTCTCCTGTCTTAGTCGTTGCTGGTTCGTCTGTGTTGTTTCCCCTCGGTCTCCATGCGTCTCTCCGTATGTATTTCCCCAGACCTCCCTGCATCTTCGTTTCTGGTTTGTTTTGTTAGTTTTACCCAGTTTAGGTTTTCCAGTTTCATGTTTACCCACCATTGCTGTTTGTACCCACTCCTGTAAATAAATACTCACCTGCACCAGAGCTGCCGCCTTTTGGGTCCTTTCTACAACTCCACACGTCTGCCACACCGGACGTGACAGTAACAAAATCAGAAACAATCCTAAAACAACTTGAAAAGTGATATAAATAATAGTAATCTCAAAACTCCTTTACTTTGCAGTTATATGATATGTTTCCCCGTCTGTTTCTCTCTATGGAGCCGAGTTGGAATATCATCTTCTTTAACAGGTCTATATACACATTGGAGGCTTTCAATAACAGTAAAAAATATTGTAATGTTTGCTAAAGAATATGAGGAAACATAATGGCAATGCAATAGAACTACAAATGATCTAGAATAACATGTACATTGAGGTGTTTTTAGGCTAGTTTATTATACAGCTAATCTCCTCTCCCAAGGCAGCTTCACAGACTGTCTTGAAGTAGGAGCACTTTAGTTTATTTTTTTATTTGTGCAAGTTATTCCTATTTACTCTAACTAAATGAACTAGTAGTAGGACTAGTAGTAGTTAGTACTCTACTAATCTTTACTAGTACACAAATGCCACAAACACACAGACGATGTGCCATATTGACATAAGTCACATTTTGTTTCCAAATGTACAATACAGGAAAGTTACAACAACAAAAGATATGTGAAGAATTTACGTTAAAAAATTATGTTGTCATAAGCATCTTTTATTCTCCACCCTGTAACAAATTTACAAAACACTTTGATATGTATGCACACAGCCATTAAACAACTAATCTATCTCATGATGCCACTGAAGCATAATGTGAAGTGTCTGAAAAATTTCTAAATGTGTTCTTTCAAACAACAGCCACACCAGCCTCAACAAATGCCTGGAATCATGGCAGTGCAGAGGTGCAGAGCTCATGGTCTTCCAATAACTTTGTGGATGAATAAAGGGTTTCAACAAGGCTTCATGTAATGCACCTTAAAGCTACAGTGAACGGAGATTTTTCTTTGGATATGTCCTTGTTACAGCTACATTTTGACCCAATGTGTCATTTTGATAAAGACAACCCTTTATAAAGTGCTTACAATGTATTATTCTTTTTTTTTTGCAACACTGTGAGTTAGTATATCTACTATATCTACATTTATTATCATTAAAATCAATGTAGTTTCTGGCAACTCAAATGACCTTGTGCTTATTTTTTAAAGTTCAAAGTCCTGTATGGTTAGACAGATACATACAAATCATTTTTGCTTCATGACTGTCTAGGACCAGAGTGTAAATATGCCCATTAGCCTCCAGTGTGTTTTGTTTTTTTGTTTGATTGTTTTGCGTGTGTGTGTTGTTTTTACATGAAAAGCTAGCAAGCTACATTTCATAAACTTTATGGGTTATGAAATGTAGCTTGAAATAACACAGACACCTGTTAATTAGAGCTAAGTAAAAGCCTAACAAATACTAGGATTTTAAGGACCAGGACTAAATCACTATAGATAACTTTGTAAGTTAATTTAGTCAAAATATGACAACTTCTTATTCAAATTACAATTTTGAGTTCTATTACTTCCTTATGGTAACATTCCTTGCACTCTTGCGAACAGTGTTAAAGCTGATGGTCTGATATTGAGTCAGCAGAGACAATGGTAATTGTGTTTCCATCCATTTAACCTCCTTCAAATGTGCCCTCTGCAGTGGTGCTGAAAGAAACAGCTCTTTTCTCGAAGAATCTAATTAGATTCAATAATTTGTGAATTACCCCGTTGATTTAAGCTACCATATGTGTGGCAGCTAAATCCTGCATCTGCTTAAGCTCATCCCTGCTCTCACCAGGGTTTTAATAGTTTTGCAATTTTCATTAGTTTTTATTTTGATTTAGTTTTGACTTCAGATTTTCAATTTTATATCAGTTTTAATTAGTTTTTACCAATTG